ATATTATATATATTATTTATATTATATTATATAAATACTTATTTATATATATATATTTATCTATTTATATATTATTTATTAAATTAAATATATTGATATATATATATAAATTAAAAGATATTTAATTTTAAATATTACCATATTTTTGGAATATTTATATACTATAATTATTGGAATTAAAATAATCTGAAAATGAATTTAATTTCTTATTATTATATCTAGTCTATATCTATAGATTTTATGATTTTTATTGGTTTATATATGGATTTGTATTTCCATAATTTATTTTTATTATTCAACTATCTTCATCCTTAAAATATCAATCTCTCCTGGTGGCGCGTCCAGCATCCCCAGGTTCAGGCCACCCCAATACGCCCGGCACCTTGTGGTTTTGCGAAGCTTCCGCTCCCAGTTTTCGAGATAGCGACGGACTTCCATCCTTGGCACTTGGGTGAGTAACCTGACTCCACCTAATTTGACACATTTTTGTGGTTACACATATAGAGGAAGCGTTTCAAAATGGGCCTCAATCGATTTCTGCTATTTCTGGCTTTGGGAACTTCTGTAATCGGCTTAAAAACATCAAAGTGCACTCGTGAAACTTCTACAAAAGGATAAAGCATCCGCTGTCTGAATCTGTCTGAAAAAGGAACTTTTTTTTGTGCGAAATTGACGAATCGGTAGCTCGATGAAAACCAATCCATCCGTTTGATATCAACTCAAATGACAGGCGAAGACACCCAAATGACAAGAGCACCACCAGATGGTTTATGCTTCCTTCCCATGAATCGAACGAAACTTTAAATAACATGTCCAACAAACAAATCCCCATCCAGGCTTCTACGATCTTCTATCGGGGTCATGGCTCAAAACTGAGATGACCAACTAGACAAAGAAACGCTAAAAATGAATTAATTGGCCAAACTCAATGCAGTACAAAAGAGGTCCTTAGTTTCTATCCAGACTGATTTGCTCCGATCCTCGGCTCGATCGCTTCATTTCTTTTCCCCAGCTCCTGAACCCCTGGAGCCCGCGCCCAGAGGTTGGAGAGGACCAAGCGGAAACACTTCATCTCTTCATGGAATCTGTGCTAAAACATGCCCGAACCTGTGTAAACCAAATCCCATTCCCACGTTTGTTTTTCCCTCCATCTTTTGTCTAGTGTTTCACTGTGGCCGTGACCCCGCTCTGTCTCAAACCATTTTTACAAAATATGCATCTTATCTACATTTGTCATCTCAGTCATGGTTCTGTCATGTTCTGCCGGCAAGAAAGGCAGGGTGATCTGAAGATAGCTTTGCTCGGAAAGGCTGAACGTGGAACTCTTGACCATACTTGGATCGTTCTCCTGCGTGGTCTTAGTTTTTTTTGGCCTCTGGCCTTTGCGGACATAAAGGCTCTCTCCAACCCGTCTTCGAAGAAGAAACCCAACATCCAGTTTCAACTGGCACGCCTGAAGAAACTCATTCCGTTAACAGTGGAACCTGAAGAACATCCATCATGTTTTGGTTCCCTAGCTATCCTAGCTCAGTACATTCCCATCAAATCTACTATCACCTACTATCTAACAGAGAACTGCTTCAGGCATCGCTACTCACAGCCCTTCATAGTCATCCACTGCTTCCTTTTGCCATCCACGACGTCCTGCCATCTCCTCAGAAACTGCCAGGGTCCACCCGTCCATACCCAGGGAGGAACCCTGTCCTCCAATTTTTTATGTTACATAGGAAACCACCAAAGGTTAGATGGTCGCCGTTAAAAAATACACACATTGCGCATTTGAACAAAACATACTGTGCAACATGCAGCTATCATCATACCAAGGCGCTGGGATGGAGTTGAGGAAGGGAAGCCTCAACGCTGTGTCCAGGCATGGGTCTCATGCGACCCGAGGCTGGCAATCCAAGCTAGATCAACCTAGCAATCGGACATCCAGATCTTATTCCATTCCCAATAAACAAAACATGATAAAACTGTAAGAATCTAAGAACGATATCTTTACATGGTGTCAATGAGTCAACTCCCCATTTATCATTCTTTAGCTTTTCAATCTCCCTTCCGTATTGGTGAAATCCCCAGTCAAGAAATCCGTTGGCAAATTTTCTGCCCGTACCGCACCCTCCAGCAATCCAACGGGAAGTCCCACCTTTCGCAAGCAAACTACCTATAGAGCAAACAATAAGTGTAAATGCGGCTGTTCCAATGCCATCTTTGATGCCCCAAATGTGCCCAAATCTAGAATCCAATTATCATCCATTTCTATCCATTTCTTAGATATCTTAGTCACATTTAGTAACTCTTCTCCATCCACCAGCCGCGCCACTCTTCTCCACGCGGAAGCAACATGTCCTTCTCCATGGGCGCGCTGCGACGGAGCTTGCGCAGAGGAACCTGGAACAGTTGCATCATCTGGTGGTGTCATTCTTGCCGGAAAAATACATGAAAATCAATAGGGATCACCATCCCAGAATCATGGTTGAAAAAAATGTGTGACAGCACCAACTAGCCATGGCTAACTTTTTTGGACAGCCTGCAATATCTCATTATCAACATATATTTCCATTTGCGAAGAACATCTTAAACTATAATCACAGTTTATATAGCCATCAATTGACCCGGATATGTGGTTGTATCTGGTTGCATGCTGGTTGCATGCTGCTTATGTATTGGTCACTGGTTGGGATCCCTCAGCCCTTCCATCACTACCATCAACAATCCGACAAACAATGCTACCATTCATTTCTCACTGGCTTGAGGAAATTTTTTGTCTTGGCACCCCTCAAACAAATAGAACACTAAAATCTCACTATGGAATAGTGAAATTTTGAACGATAAATTGGAATAATTATGCTAATTCATACTAATTCACTATCCGGAAATCAGCCGTTTC